GGACCAAGGGGAAGCCTCAGGAGGAATGCTGTAGCCCAGCCCAGCCTTGCCCCGCCCCCAGCCATTTCCCTGCCTTCCCGCCCCTGCAACTCCTGGCTGCATCACCGAACCAGGGAGCGCACATGCGTGCATGCATGTCGCACACACATCCCACCATACACATGCACCCACACACCCCTCTTGCACTGCCATACCATGCAGACTCCCTCACACCCCCCATGCCCCTATCCCCCCTATACCCCAGATATCCACATACACACCCACATGCTCCCTCACCTCACACCCCACAATCCCCCCAAACACATCCACACCTTCAGTCCCCCAAAAACCTATATCCCCCCACAATATACAAGTGTAAGACCTCTTTCTAAGCTGTTATACTATCACCTCTATGTACACTACACAAACACATGTAAATATGAATGTTTTAGATCAGGGGTAGGCAATTCTTCTGGGTGGAGGGCCGCTTACCGAGTTTCGGCAAGCTGTCAAGGGCCACATGGGTAGCACCCCCCACTCAGTCACCATCTTGTGACAGGAAGTCCTGCCCCCCTAATACTTGACCTTTGCCATTAGAAGTCCCTCCCCTTGCCCCTGGAAGTACTCCTTTCAACAAGGGGTTTTGCATCTCAGAACCAGAAAAATACCAAATTATATTCTAAAAACAAACATGTTATCACCTACACAACATAACCCCATAGCTGGAACCACAGTTCAAGCTCACTTGCATGTCCAAAAAACAAGCTCCGTACAGGTCACACTAGCACATGAAACTTTAACTCTAACCTTAGTAAGATTACAATTTTTACTAGTCAGAGTTCGTAAAAGCCTTTTAATTTCTGCCTAAATAAAAACAAAAACCATGAAACAGATTGAGAAGCATTGGCATACACAATCTTAACAATATTTTTTTTTCTTTTTTTTTTTGGAGTCGGGGCAACCACTTCCCTCCCACCCCCAATATTGTTGAATGTGGTGGCACCTCCAGTTGAGAACCACCATTGGCAGCACCTCAGTTTACTTCAGTGGTTCTCAACCAGTGCTGGACCTCCATGTAAAACTGCCCCATGTTCCTGCTGCATAGCCAGCAGGAAAGGGCTGTAGCACATATGCCTGCTCTTCTTGCATTACGGCACTCTAAAACCTTAATGCAGACAGGAGATCTGGTTCGCACTGTAGCTGTTCCCCATCCAGTTCTTCCCAATGCTTCGCCCAGAAATAGTGTGTGGATGGAACTGTCCCACATGCCTCCGTTTCCAAAACAATCATGGTAGGGAGGGGGGCAAGAAGGAGAGACCAGGCCAGGAAGGGTTACAGCCTGAGGCAATTCCCCTGTCTGTTACCATTCAAGAACCCTAATGCAGGTGGAATGTGCACATGCTACAATCTTGTGCATAGGGCAGCGTTACCCAACTGTCATTGTGGCACGATTGAAAAGGTCTTGCAGTACCCTGGTTAAGAACCACTGGTATATGCAAATAAGGGTTGCTAACTAGCCACATATTTACAAACAGTACATAAAAAGGGGCTAAAACCTGCCAGTTTTGATTGATGTTTCAATACAATCACAAATAGAAGGATTCTGGGGATGGTTAAACCAATTCTAAGTCATGTGTACTATTGTGCTTTGCACTTCCTTGACATAACTCTGCTTATTATGTAGGTTTAGCTATGATTATGTTCTATTATGATAACTGTGCATTCCTTCTTTACCCTCAGTAGTATGATGCATGTAAGTTCAGAGTTTTTGGGGCTATTCATTAGGCCTACAAAAAGCAGCAAGTATTCGCTTCCGATTCGGCCAATTCAAAGGACAGCGATTCGATCTGGAGATTCAAATTACTATCCCGATTCAATTCGGCCAAATCAGATCAGAAAGATTCGACGCTGCTTCTGAGATTTGGCCATAGACTAAACAGGCAGCTGACTCCAGCTGGTAAGTCTGTGGGGGTTGGGGAAGAGGGGATGGAAGGGGCATGGGGGAGTGAGGGATG